CTCGCAACTTAAATAATACCTACGAAAATTTTCGTTACTACGTTCGCAAAACTATTGGGTTTGGCTATGGAAGAGGGGACTCACCTACGAAATGGAAGGGATAAGAAAAGGAAAGAATCATCTCACTCGCACTCGCAGGATCAACGAGGATCTACTTGGTTAACTTTGAGGAGCACTCGGGAGTCAAAAGAACCGAGTTTGCCCGGCTCTGGCATAGTCAATGAATTCATCGCTAAAGATAGGATTTCCCCTGTCAACAAAAGTGTCTGGGTTACACCCGGACCTTTTTTAAAAACCCCTGCCGGACGGCCCCCGGATGCCCTTCAAACTAGGACAAATCCGGGAAATCCCGGACGAATGGCAACCCTATGGTAATATAGTAGTTTGAAAACTGCATCAACAACAGTTCTATAATACAGTCGAAAAACTATTGTGAAAATATGTGAATAAAAGTGGCTTCATATACATTTATACATTACTTATCTGTAATATATGTGGTACCCCTCAAATAATTGTAAATGTGACACCTTCATTCATAACATGAGATAAATATGACACTCTTGTGTATTACGTGACAAAACGGAATGTGGATGTAAGATGCAAGAACGACCTTATACAAAACTACAAAAGTGTTTTCTGGGGGATGCAGAGGTAGGGATGAGAAATGGAATATCAGAAAAAAAACATAAAAGCAACCTACCCAAATCCCTAACCAAACGTAATCTAATTTAACATTGTAAAAAATCATTTAAAGTTGATTTTCGATTCAATGATGAAGCAAGCCATGTCTTATCCCGTTCAGAATCAGTGTGGCACCCAAAAATGGGTGTCACAGTTAGGGTTGCCACCCGTACTTTATTATAAAGTATTGTACTCTATTTCGACTGTGCGTACGTTATATTTTACAAGACACATAAAGTACGCAAAAATACTTTATTTAAGGCCTTAAGTAAACATCGTAATTTTGTAAGCGATTATTCGAAATTCAGAGTATTTTTACATCAATAACATTGCACAATACAATATTTTTGAGAATGTTTCTAAGTACGGAGCAACCCGATTTCCCAAATCTGTTCAAAGTAGTGTCACTTTTGCTGTCCGTTCCGGCCTCTTCAGCATTTACCGAAAGAGTATTCTCTGTTATGAACGCAAAGTGGCGGGACGACAGGAATAAAGGTTCATTAAAACTAATTAAAAATGAACTTTTAGTTTACTTAAATCTTTGTTTGCCATGTTTAGAGGCTATTAATGTATTTAAGAGCGACAGCAATTTGTTACTGGCTGCTAGGTGTAACAAAAAATATGTTTTTAAAAACAAAAAATAAAATACTTTATTTTTATGCTGAGTACTTTTTTTT